TTCTGCAACACAACAGGCTAAGGCTGTCAGGTCCTAGAGCAGGGGTAGGCAACCTTGGCACTCCAGCTGTTATTGAACTACAAGTGCATGAGGCATTGCAAGAGTCTGACAGCCACAGGCATGCCTCCCAGAGGCATGATGGCGCTGGTAGTTTCAGCACAGCCTGCCTACCTCTGCACTAGGGCCTTACCAATATGCATATTCTTGACAATTGATGTGACTTTGGCCTAGGGTATTGGTATCTCCATTAATTCTCCTGCATGTTGAGAAGTTTTCAGTAGGCCTGAATGGGATGGGTATGTTATAGAATTCTTTTCTTTTGCTTGGGACTACCTCTATACCTTGTTACAGGGTTTTGTAGGCTGGACGTGTAGGAAACCTTGCTGCTCCCCCACCATCGCCTATTTTGGGTTTTAGAATATGAAATACATACATTAAAATTCAAACGTTTCTACAATATTTCTATATTGTTGTGGTACAATAACCTTTTCGGTCTTGAATCCCAAAGTTATACTCTGTGCAAAAGAAGTAACTGGACTTCCAAAGAAGTATAAGTAGCAAGCTGTCACAGATCAGCTGCAGAGCTGATATGTTACCTGTGCTTCCACAGGCTTGCAATTGTTCTTAGCTCTTTGCTGCTGTGGATCTGCTGGTATCTGTGGTTCTACAAGCATGTGCTCTACTCTTGCTGTACAGAGCTAGCAGCTATGGATGTTTACCACTTTACCTGATGCTTAATATACCTTGCTTCTTAGCTTCTTCCTGTCCTACCGCCTATCTCTTTTGTCTCCCTTTGTCTGAGCAACACTCCTGTTGCCTCCAAGTTCCCAGTTCCCTTTGTTCCTGACTTGCTTTTCCTTGGACTGATCTTTTATGTACTGATTCAGCTTAGTTCTCCCGATTACATTTGTCTGCTGCTAGCTCTGACCTTTGGCCTGTCTTTTGGATCTCCTTTTCTCTGTTGCCATCTTACTTTTGCATACACTGACTGGTTCGCTGCCACGTTCCCTGTCTCCTGTGTGTATGGGTACCCTCCGTAAGTCAAGCAAGGTGAACCTGGGGTTTGCGACCTGGGATCAGCACCCAGCTAAACCCAAACTTCTTTAAAGGGGGTCTCTGGCAGAATATTGACTGGCCCTTAGACCCTGCGCCTTGGGGCATCCCACGTGATCTGCTTGTCCATGAGTGAGCAGGTGACATGGGATCCCCCAATGCGCGGAGTCTAAGAGCTAACCGATATGCTGCCAGGCTGGCAGAACTTAGAACTCCTTGTCAACCAGTGCCGTTGCTTTGAAGACATTGTAACTGTGTTGCCTTGAGGAAGGGACCTTGCACGGCCCCAAAAACGTAGGCTTTAGAACTTATATGATGCTTTTGCAATAAACTGGAATACATTTGCATCCTGAACTTGTGTGTGTTGGTGACTCTTCTTACAACTCCTTGAGAATTTCCACGGAGCCATCCGTTGTTGTCACTGGGAGCACCACATTATCTGAACGGGTCATAGCTTTGCATGGAGTGCAAGTGGACCCTTCATCACTAATAGGCAGTGACATGACCAGTCTGAAAAGGTGTGAAGGAGGAAGGCAGGAAAAAGGGAGGAGCCTCCCTGTCCCTCACTTGCTCGTCACTGCTGAGGCATCGAGATCGATGGCCTCTGTTTTATTTTTATTTTATTTTTTTGATTGGACAGCTTGGACCAATAGCGCTTTGCCATTGGTCCAAGCCATCCACAGAGCTCACGCCTCTAACACAGAGTAGAGGCTGAGACAGCTCTTGCCTCAATAGTTAGGATACACAAGCAGTGAGAAAGCCCGCTGCTGTGTAACCTAACTATCTGTCAAAAGCCAGATGCAGCGCTGCCTGTAATTTAACAGGCAGAGCTCAGTCTATGGCAGGGTACACAACGGGGAGGCTTTCCCTGCTGTGTAACCTGATAGAAGCCGATCTGAGTGGAGAAAAAGCTGTCAGCTTCAGACTTGAAGCTAACAGCTTTTTCCTCCATAATACGAGGTGTGGCTCTGCCTCACCTGACCGCACGTTCCTGCTAATAGGGCAGGGCTGACTCCACTTATGCCACAAAATATACTCTGTGTTCTCAACCCACAACAGGAAATTCTGAGTTTAGTGCAGTTCTGACAAATTTGTTACTTTTCTGTAATTTAAAAGGAATATAACACAGGAACATGTACATGTATTGCAGAGATGTGCTGCATGTGCTTTTGCCTTGATATACACTTTACACATTTACAGCTGGATTATGTCAAAGAAATGTTTTACTATAGCAGTGGAGATAATCACGTAGGCAAAGTGTAACAGTAACGATTTTTGATTATTTTACTAGAATAAGAATACTAGAATGACAACAGATTCAAGTTATCAAATGTGAAAATCCCGTTTCGCAAAGAACAAAAACAAAGGTAATTGTTAATGTTAAGAAATTTGACTAATATAACAAAGCATAATACAAGGGCAGTTAGCATATTACAGCATACCCAAATATATAAAATATCCAATTTTGTTAAAACAAAATCCCTGAATTCTCTATCTATGACAATAACATTGTGAAAAATAACGATCCCTGATACAACATAGCTTTATTTGTTTTTTTAGTTTCTCTAATAAAAGTGTAATATAGTTTTCAGCACAATTCTGTTAATAGGCCGTTCACTTTGCAAGGGGCTATGCATGTTGCAGTGGAAGTTTCCCCTTGGTGTAGTGAAGCTCTGCTGACTTCCAATCACGTGCAAGGAAAATTGAAAATATATATTTTTGTTTGTACGTAATTGGGTGACTGAAGTCAGCAGAGCTTCACCTCATTTACTAAACGTAGGGGCAACTTCCCCCACAAAGTGCAAATTTCCTTGCAAAATGAACAACCTATTTGCTTTTTGTAAATCAACTCCATTAACTTGCACAAAACAGGCAAGAAATAAGATATGGAGGAGAAATGATGGCCTTGCAAAGGTGTAAAGCTAGGTTGCCCCAAGCAGGGGACCCCAATTGGTTTACAAGGAGAAGGCGGTCCTTGGCTGCCTGGCAACTAAGACAGCTATGGCACATCATTAGGGCTTTAGTATATAGCAGGGTAAGTATTTAATGACATCTATTTCTTAAAAGACATTTGGTAAAGGTAAAAGACAAAGTTTGGTACAAGGGGTAAAAGGCATGTTGGTGCATTGGATATAAGACATAACTTGATGCATTGGGTAAAAGACGTAGCTTGTGAACAGGACCTAAGACATAGTTGTGGTACAAACGGATAGTTTGATGCATGAGGTATAAGGCATTGTTGGGTACAAGGGGTATAGGTCATAGTTTGGGGCATGGGGTAAAAGGCATAGCTTAAATGAGATATGCTCCAGACCCAATGCTTCACTCCCTTCTATTTTTCCATGTGGACCTCCCATCTAGTGAGCATGGTGGCAAACTTCTTAGAAAAGTTAAGTCAAACAATTGGTGGTGTTTTACCTTTAATGCTTTGCCCATAATACAAATAGTATCACAGAACCTGAAATGTTTCAAACATATTTAACATTTGCCATGAGGCAGTGCAGCCTAATATCTTCTATGACTAACCCATTCAGCTCCCGAAAAGGTTGTTTAAACAGTCCTTCAGTTGGACATGTCGCTGGCTTTCTTTTTCAGAATCCCCCTAACCCCCTCCCCCTGTATTTTACAGTTTAAATGGAAATTCTGGGTCTGCAGTAGTACCTGCTGGTGAAATAAAGAATCAGAGCATCATTGGCAGACATAATGCTCCTTTACGAATGTATTATAGGGGATATACCTTTATTGTTTATAACAGGGCTTCTTAAAGTGTGGGTTGTGACCCCACCCATATGGAGCAGCCCAAGTGAATGGGGGTGGGGGGGTCGCGACAAAAAAATCTGAATCCCCGGCCATTGGGTGGGTACAGCCAGTACTCGTGTGAGGGGCCTGGGATCCAAGCAAGAATTTTAACTATACTATAGATTACTATGTACAGTTGAATTGGTAAGGTTCTACCACCCCTGTGCACTTGGTAACTTCCTGAGTACGTGCGTGCAGTAAGGTTTTTTTATTCAGAGGGCGGAGCTTTTATTTTACCCGGCAGAAGCACTGAAGAGCAAGGCAGGAGCGGAGCACAGCTGCTGGAAGGAAAAGTAATTTTTTTTCCAGCAGACATCCCAGGGGGTTGTTGGTCATTAAGACAGAGACACCGACCGACCAACCGTTGGCGTGTCCGCTGAAGGAGGAGAGAGACACTGACCGACGCTGGGGAGGGAAGGAGGAGAGAGACACCGACCAACACTGGGGGGGGGGGACTAAGAAGGAGAGAGAGGAGATAGACAGATAGACACCGACGGACGCGTGGGGGG